TAGTTCTGCATTCAAAATACATTGTAAAGTACTATAGTTTCTATTTAATAGAGAGAAACTTTTTTTCATTGGCAGAATATACTATGGTAAGAACGATTGTACTTAGACTAAATTAAACTCTGAGTTGCTTTGCTTTGCAGCACCAGGTCACAAGCATGTACCTGACTGGGTTTGGATTGTAGTGGGCATCCTCAACTTCGTAGCCTACACTCTAGGTAAGAAATTGACAAATACTCAATTTAGTCAATGGCTGGTGAACCTGTGAGCAAGGATAGCCACCTCTAAATTAACATTTTCTCCTATGCTTAATTTATTTTAACTGGGATTTATTAATATTCTGTTTATTTTGATAAGTGTGTTTTTGAGTTTCTCTATGAAAAATATTGTTTGTTATTTGTTGCTAGGAATTCAAAGAATAAGATAGGAATTGGCAAGCTACCCCTTGTGGCCAAACTTACCTGTTGCCTTTTTTTCTAAGTAGGTTTTTATTGTAACACAGTTATGCTCATTCTTTTACATATTGTCTATGGCTGCTTACCTGCAACAAAGACAGGGTTGAGTAATTGCCAGCAGAGACCATATGGCCCAGAATGCCTAAACTATTTACTGTCTGGCTGTTTACAAAAAGTATTTGCCAACTCATGGAATAAGACTTCATTTTTGCCTTAAGTTCGGGAAGCAATATTGACATATCAAATTATCACAGAATACTGAGAGAGATGCTATGATAGAGCACAGTGGGTGAACAAATAAGAAAGTGATCAGTTCTTATTTGGTGGAAGGAGTAGTCAGGGAAGCCTACTGTGCTAGGTCATACTGTCTATTTTGCCAAGGATGATTTTCATTGGATTATCTACATGGCTTGCCCTGCATTCTCTTCGTATCCTTCCCTGCTTTACTTTTCTCCCTAGCACTTAAATTCATACGACCTGTTAGCTGTTTACTTGCCTACTTATTGTCTGTCTGCTCTAAAATATGTTTCTTGAGCACGTTACTTTGTTTTTTTTTTTACTGCTCTGAACCCAGGATTTAAAACACAGTAGGCATTCAGTATATAGTTTTTAAATGCATGTGAAATAGCAGACCCTGACTTCACATTGCTTAGCTCTCTTCAGATAAAAATGACTTGCACTCATAAAACCAGTATCATCTGGTACATGATTAAATGCTGATATGGTAGTTGACCAGAGTTACAAGAGTTAGGCTTTTATTAAAGATAAGAAGGTTTTAAAATTCTGCTATTTGGTTGCAAAGGACTGCAGGAGGAATAGGGAAAAGGTGAGGGTGGCCTGTGGGCTCTAACCTTCAACAGCATTATAAGAGCCTTTTGACATACTGTATCATCTGCCTGTTTGAGGTCCACAATTCTGGCAAGAATCCTTACCTAACATAAGCTATTTGTTGCAGAACTTGCCTTGAACTAACATGAGGCAATTTATAATCTTTATTAATTCTAAAGTGACTATTCTTATATTTTGCTGCAGAAATATTAATGTGTTTGATCACAGGGTGCTAGTCTAGGTCCTACTGCATTTTTTTCATAATGCATGATATGGTATATTCCCCGTACCTTTCTTAAAAAAACATTCTGAAACATATCTAGACCCCAGACTTGTGGAACTAGAATGGGTTCAGTGAGAAGATGCACAAGACCTAATTAATAAGTAGTTCATGAATTCAGTATTTGTAATAGCTGCACAGGAGTTCCACTGAAAATAGGAAATTAAGCCAGCAAATAATGAGAAAAGACTTAGGAAATAGTTTAGCTACTTAAGGGCAGAAAAGTTCCCAACCTTATATAACAGTGATCTGCAGTATTTGGGCAGGGATTTGGGATTCATCCTTTCATATATTCCTTTAACAATATTTTCGAAAGCCTTCCTTGCCACAGACGGAGCCAGGCACTGGGAAAATACTATGATGAGCAAGATAATACTGTGATGAGCAACACAGTAATTATAAGATATTTTTAATTCCTTAAATCTGATACAGTTAGCCTAATTCTAATGCACTTAAGTTAACAAAACGGTTTCTTTTGGGGAGAAATTTTTATAATTCAGACTCTTCATTTTTAACTGTGTTTTACCATTCTCTCTCTCGCTCTCTGGCTCTTTTCCCCTCCCTCTTCCTCTCCTTTCATTTCTTCCCCTCAGGCTCCTCTGTTTCTGCCCCTAAATGAAGGTCTTCCACTCTGCTTTATCCTTAACTTTTCTCTTTCTCCTAATTTCTTAGTAATTCTGATTCTTAACATTGTTAAGATGACTCCCATGTTTGTAGCTAGCCCTTGCCTTCTGAGTTGCTAATAAGTACCCTCGGGTTGAGTGGCTTGACGTTACCATGTGGATGTCCTGCTAACATTTCAATTTCAGCATCTGACATTGTACTGAGCATCCTTTGTATCAGTCTTGCTCTTCTTCTGACTTATTTATTTCTGTTAACACTACTACTCACTTAGTTACCCAGATGGGGAACTTTGGAGATAGTCTGCTTCTCCTTCAGCCTCACCGCTCATCCTTTTGCTCCCTTGTCATTTTTACTTACTTAATAGCTCACTGATCTCCAGCTTTTCATTCATGTTGCATTCTATCCCAGTTTTGGATTATTAATTTGTGTTCCTCTTCCAGCCTGTCATTCACACTGATGTCAGGTGATCTTCCTGATGCACGTCATTGATTTCACTCTTGTCACTCATATACTTTTAGTAACTCCTCATGCTCCCTAAAACTTGAAAATTGGGTCAGATCTCCCTGTTAGCCTCTTTATACTGCCCTCTTCACATCTAAACTAAACTACTTGGCTTCCTCTGAACATGCACGTGCTTTTCCATCTTGCTGTTTGTGCTGATAGCACTCTCTCCTTTTGAAATGGCATACTCCTTTATCTCTTATCTACTGAAACCCAACTCATTCGTTATGTCCCGACTCCGATGTCATTGTGTCTGGAAAGCCATTCTAGGTTATCTTTGCCTGAAGAGAACTTGTCCCTTTTCTGTACTCCTCTATGGTTTGTGATATACCATATCTTTAATTATGTTTTTTTTTTCTTTTTTCTCAGTTGTAAACACTCTGAGGGCACAAACTTAGTTTATTCAAAGATTCTTGTAATCTTCACAATGAGAATAGTGCATTGTACAGTTTCAATAAATTTAATTTTTACGTTACTGAAATGTCCTATGTGCAAAACCTTTTCTGAAAGCACTTAAAATTGTAGAGGTAGTAGATCTGTAAAGAGGTGACTGTAATATCAGACAGGATGAAATAGATCTTATGACTGAAGTACAGAGTGTTTTTGGATCCTAGAGCCAAGGAGTGGTTAGATAAAATGTCATGAATCACTGTTGAATATTCTCTGGAAGCTTGAGAATTTGTGGCTGGTGGAACAACTCAGTTGTTAGGCAAATTTGGAGAAATTGAGTCCAACTAGAATGTTTCTTCCTTAGATCTAAAATTGACACCATTCAGTGTAATATTTTAATTTTTAGATTAAACTTTGAGAAATTACAGATTTTATTTCTGAAATCTTTCAGTTGTAGGAATTACAGGTTAGATTTTTACAGTACTGGCTGGTAGCTATACTTTAGTTAATTAACATTCCTGCGATATGCTGATTTGTTTTGTTTTCTCTAGTTTTTTGAAGAAGACTTTCTCCATATTGGTATAGCTGTTGACCTTTTCCTGTGGTAATGTGTTTTTGTTGCAGATGGTGTGGATGGAAAGCAAGCCCGCAGAACCAATTCCAGCACCCCCTTAGGGGAGCTTTTTGACCATGGCCTGGATAGTTGGTCATGCGTTTACTTTGTTGTAACTGTGTATTCCATCTTTGGGCGAGGATCGTCTGGTGTCAGTGTTTTTGTTCTTTATCTCCTGCTATGGGTTGTTTTGTTTTCTTTCATCCTGTCCCACTGGGAAAAGTATAACACAGGGGTTCTTTTCCTGCCATGGGGATATGACATTAGCCAGGTGGTAAGTATGTGTTTTACCTTAAATTTTCAATGTTGCATGAATTTTGGGGGAAGTTTTTGTCATTCATTCTTTATTGCCCTAATACTTTTTTGATTAGAACAGATGTGTGATTTAAAATTTATTTTATTTTATATTTATATTCATCCTGTCACTGGGAAAAGTATAACACAGGGGTTCTTTTCCTGCCATGGGGATATGACATTAGCCAGGTGGTAAGTATGTGTTTTACCTTAAATTTTCAATGTTGCATGAATTTTGGGGGAAGTTTTTGTCATTCATATTTTTTAGCCCTAATACTTTTTTGATTAGAACAGATGTGTGATTTAAAATTTATTTTATTTTATATTTATTT